GCTGAGCGAGTGCGGTAATACTGAGGACAATTCAAGGTGAGAATAATAATAATAATAATAGTAACAATTGACGCAATAAACGAAAAGCACACAAATTGAACAAACAAAATAGAAAATAAGTAGAGAGAAAATGTGATTAGGGATTATCATACTTTCGCGCATAAAGGGATTAAAACCATGGAGGGGTTGAATGGACATTTTCTCTATACAGAGATCTGGCTTCTCTACTTTGATGGCCATGATCAAACAGACTGTCATCTACCACCTGTACACTTTAGATGTGCAATATTATATTATTGTTATTCCTCTGAGTTCTAAACAGAGCATAGGGCTTCAGCAGTCAGTATGTCTGCATTTTGTTCCGCCCTCTGTAGTCCTCTTTAGTAGTTCCGTGACTGCTCATCAGCCTTCATCCTGTCCATATCACTGTCGGACACCCAACTCATTGTCCTCCGTTCATCTGCCACTTGAGGTTGTGGCAGGCGATATCATCCAACGGTCTCCTCAGAGTGTATCCAATCCGACTCCATTTTTTTACCGGCAAATCTGTTGAATTATTAGTTCTGGATTGGTTTTTTCCCCCAAGTCTCCTGTGTTGCTAATTCCTCCTTCAACTGTGTATTTTAACATAAACTAGCTTGTCTCGCAATGAACTATCATCCTATGAAAATCATACATCCAATAATTGTTACTGAATGAATACTGTTAACCAGTATATCCAATGATTTTCCTGATTGCAGTAGATTGGATGGTGCGACAGACAGCGGGCCGGACAGCGAGGAAACAAGCATAAAATGAACTCACACAAACAACTTGGAGGATCTGGACTTCGCCGATTATATATATCTGATTTCCCACAAACTAGAAGATATGCAAATGAAAAGCAACAAGCTGACAGAAGAAGCATCCAGAGAAGATAGGACTTCAGGTGAGCATAGAGAAAACAGAAGTGCTGAAGATTCCGGGTCAACAACAACAGCAACAACAACAACAGGCAACAATCAGCCAGTATACACGGGAGGAATCTGAAAGAAACAACCTCCTTTTCTTACCCACATTGGACGCATCGCTTCAACTACAGGGAAGGGAACTGATGAGGATATCGAAGAGAGGATTGGGAAAGCAAAGCAAGCTTTCATTACTCTTAAGTCTGTGTGGAGGTCAACATCATTCAGCATCGAAAATAAGATCCGGATTTTCAACTCCAATGTGAAGTCAGTCAGTGCAACTTACTATACGGATCAGAGACTTGGCACGTCATAAAGGGTATCTCAAACAAACTACAGACCTTCATCAACAACTGCCTTCGCTCAATACTACTCAAGATCAGATGTCTGGCCAGTAAAGATCAGCAACAGGGATCTCTGGGAATGAGCGAACCAACCAGGAACCGATTGTGAAACAAATAGGCAAGAAGAAATGGAGACGGATTGGTCATACGCAGAGGAAACCATGAAGTGGCATCACACGACAGGCCCTCGAGTGGGACCCGAAAGGGAACCGGAGAGTTTGTCGTCAGTGCAAGGGTGACTTGGAGGAGGTCATGTGAAGAGGATGTGATGAAAGCATGTGGACAGACTTGGAGTGGGGTGAAATGGTTGGCAGAAAACCGAACGCAATGGAGACGCGCGGCTGAAGCCCTATGTTCCTCTAGGAATTAAAGGAAATAATAATAATAATAATAATAATAATAATAATGACCAGTATAATCTTAAAGTAGAGTCAGAAACTCACCAGAAGTAGCTGATGGTAGGTAGCAGTAGATTTCATCATGTGCTTTTACATCTCATTTTGAACTCCTCAGATGGGTATATATCTTCATTGCTAGTAAATAATGATGTCTTCACTGATAGATGAACTAATTAGTTATTGTAACAATTTTTATTCATTTTGCTTTCATCTTTTTTCTTTTCACAGTTCATAAAGTTTATGTACGTATTAATGAATTGAGTGAATCTGGTCTTATCGAAAACCAAAAGGGACAAAATGGTACAATTACATGCAATGCCTATGGTAAGTACATAGTCCTTATTTTATAAATTCTAATTCTCTAACATTTGTAACAACTACATTAAGCGGAAACTAAAACAATCTGGAATCACTCAATGTCTAGTTTTACAATTTTTTTTAACCCCTATATCTTACCTATTGTACTTAACTGCTCCCCACCTTTAGTCTTTCTGGGTTTTTGAAAAAGCACTGTATCATATTGAAGTGAAGGGTGTTAAAGGTTGCCAGTCATGGTCGATAGTGTGCAACTTTAGGCCGAGTTAAACTTTAAGCACCACTAACTAACTACCAATGGAGGGTGACCGCGCCAATGAGCGACCTTGAAACGCTCACTGAGCAAGTTGGTGAAACCTGGTAAATAATGTTGTCACCATCAATAGAATATCCTCATCGAAGTGTTATGCTATTAAATGGGATATCTGGCAAGCTTCCGTTTAGGTTTGGGAAGGATTAAGTTATTCTTTAAGCCAAGGACAAGTTAGGGTTAGGTTAACCTAATAAAGGCGACATTAAGGTTAGTTCGAGTTAGATTACAGTTAGTTTAGGGATATTTTCACGTTACAAATAGGTTCAGGAAAGATTAGGGTTATTGTTAGGTTTAAAAGACCCAAATAATTACATGCATAAAATGGGGTTAAATTACTCTGTTGATATAAGAACAGAACTTGTTTACTGTGGTAGAATACAATTCCATTGTGGGTAAACTTTATTTTGATGAAGTCTCATAGTGTTGTACTGTAATGTTTACTGATGACCACATTTCCAGAACAGTTTATTGTTCAGGAAATACTACTGTGTAACAACAGAAGACAAGGGTGAAGCAACAGATCGTTTCATTATGAAAATCAACACGTATTTATACATATTTCACATACATTATTATAACTTATGCAAGTAGACAAGCGCAGTCATCTGATTGGTTGTTTATCAGAAGTTAGGCAGACAAACGCAGGCTTCTGATTGGTTGTTTCGGGATTCCTCGACAAATAGAGTTCTCTATCTGCGAATCATATTTTGCCACGCTAACTTTGCTGTGATTGGTTGTTGAATCAGCCTTGCTCATATTTTCTCACGGCCTGCTCTCACCACAACTGTATTACACTATGAGACTTTATCAAAATAAATTTTAACCACAATGGAATTATACTCTGTTGATACTCCAACTTAAAACTGAGAGCAATTCTTATCACATGTGAGAGCTAGGTATCCTCTATAACATTTTTCTATAGTTTTTATGCATTTTCTTAAATATATGTATTCCATACACAAAGATGTCTCCTTCGCGTGATTGGTGCGTTCGAGGTCATTTGCTGGATTGGTAGTTAGTGGTGCTTAAATTTTAACAGCTAAATTCATACGAGGAATGGTCTAAATCTATATTGTCTGACCTTCAACACCTCCTTTATTCTCAACTCTCCTCACACTTGTATCTCATCTGGTTAGAACTGAAAGTCAGTACAAAAGATTATATGCCCGTACTGCCAAGTATAGACACTCAACGATACCATATTTGGCTGGCCTTATGTTCTATGTGATAGAGACAATGTAAAGCTTGAAACTTATTAATTATTGTGTTGTTAACTAAAAAGTTGACCCTTTTATTATCTCCTATTTGTAATCTATGGTGATAATACCCGCGATTAACTGACAATCCTAGCTACTAACCTTATTTGTAAAAATTATATTTGTAAAATCTCAATGAATTTGAAATGATTAATTCCAACGTTTTGTTCGGCAATCTGGTCCGAACTTCTTCAGGGAAATTAATCAAAATTAACAGAAAAGAGGTTTGGTTGGAGAATTTCATCATGAGCTGACATCAGTTGGAGAACCACTGGAAAACCCACCCTGGGAGTACTGGACAGCTGTTTCGTTCTAGTTTGGGACCCTTCATTAGTACGCACCCACCGTCATAGTTCGAATCCAGGACTTTCTGGTTACAAGGCGATCTCGTAGACCATTGAACCACTGGGACCCGATCCAATGGTCCTTGAATTCTAACTTTTGTCAGTTTATGACATAGCGCGACCATTTCCCAATGTCTTCTTCGATGAGTTACTGCCTCATTTTCAACTTGCTGTACCCTACTGGTTCTCTAACTGATGTCAGGTCATGGTGAAATCCTCCAACTGATCAAACAAAATCCTTACAAAACAACCAATACTTGAAAAATAATGGAGGTTAATATATAAAAGGAACATCTTTTGTTTTTGAAACTTTGTCCAATCATGAGTCATGAAACAGGCATCAACATGTATAATAAACAAAATTCTATGAACTGTGATCAAAATTTGACCTCAGACTTTCAAAATTAGTCCACTTTTCTACAGTTTGGTTTGTAAGGGTTTGTTATGTTTTTACGAGTTGATCACGGATTGATATCAGTTGGAGAACCATTGAAAACCAGGGAGTAGTGGACACCTGCTATTTCATCCTAATGGGTAGAAGTTAGAATTCATGAGCCATTGAATCGGGTCCCAGTGGTTGAATGGTATACCAGCCTGCCTTGTAACCGGAAGGTCCTTGGTTCGAATTCTAGTCCACTTCTGTTAAGATAGGTTAAAATATATGTAGTATACAATGGTGTGTGTGTATGTGTGTGTGGGTGAACAGTCATTAAAACATGTGTTAGCAACTATTCGGTCAAATCTTGATCACAGCTCATATGATCTAACCTAATTATATATATATATATATATATATATATATATATATATATATTAGTCATCATTTTAGAGGTATTCTTTATATGTGGTAGGATGTATTTTCTTGCGACCTTTGGGGACAGTTTCTGGTTGGTGTGTCTGAAGTCCTTTAGTGAGGTATTGAGGAAATCTCGTGGGTTACGTCTATAATCTTAGTTTTATTTAGCCTATCTGATTTAGGCTGGTTCCAAGTAATCATCTTAATTTAAGTTATTATCCTGTTGAATACCATATTTAGCTATTTACTGTTTTATCGGGGTCGTTGTCTTTAATTATTCCTCTTAGATGGTTACCTACAATTCATTCTACCTGATGCCACCTACACCTGGGAGGTGGAACGTATCAATGGTGAACGTGTTCATCCAAATCTAATCGCTGATCAAGTAGAAATTGACAATAATCAACTACGTTATTATGGTTTATCGTCGGCGGCAAACAATCTGAGAATACGCTGTATCTCATTGAATGATACAGCACGTTATATATCCTCGGATTTCAGTTTTCGTGTATACGGTGAAAAAGGTGAACCGGTTAAAACATCTGATGTAGAACCTGGTGGAACACGATGGATAAGTGGAGGTAAGTTTTAAACAAAAGGCTATTTGTTATTGACAAATTAGACAGCAATTCTTATACAATTTCAAAAAAAATTATCACTTTACTTTGTTATAATTGTAACGAATCAAAACTGACTCGTTGTGATCTGAACGTAAGAAGCCGGTTTCTACATTCTACCGTATAGCTGATAAAACTTCCTTGAGACACGCGGAGTTAGAAGATGCTTCAAAGACAGCCAAAAGATGGCTAGATCTATGTGGGTTTTTTTCAACAACAATAATAATATCGAAAACTCGAAATTTCTTCAACCTGCAGTTCGGTGGTGCGGGCTGTCTTGCTGTACGCTTGTGAAACCTGGCCTCTACGAGCTGAGGATGTTGCTTCGACTCTGCGTATTCGATCATCGCTGTCTCCGCAAGATTGCTCCCGTTCGATTGCATCATCGCGTGAGTAATTCTGCGGTCTGTGTTTGAACACAGTGGAGATCACCATTCATTGAGTGTCGTCATCTGGAAACACCGGCTCTGGTGGCTTGGACATGTGCTACGAATGTCATCCCAGAGGCTTCCGCACAGGTCTCTGTTCGCAGGCCAGCCCTGGAATGGGATGGAAAAGGCGGAGGGGTGGTCAGTTCATGACGTGGCGTCGTGGGATGAAGGAGTTTTGTGCTAGATTAGCATCGGTTGGTGCGTCTCGATTCCCTGGTTTGAGTCCGCGAGATAGCTTGAATCGATGGCTCGAAACGCTATCAGATATGGCCAAGAATCGTAATCAATGGTGAACGTGTTGCAATTTCCTCCTTTCTTCCCTTGCTGATGATAGTTAACAAATACTGTTTGAACTTACTAAGCATGACTGTTTTTCTTCCAGATGAAGTTCTATATCCGTTTTCTACTTATATTTTTACTTTGAATCTATGTTGTTTTATTGTTATTGTGTGGCGCATCTTTCTTGATGACATATTGTACCAAGTTTTTTCTGCGCTTAAATAATAATAAATAATAATAATAGGCGGCTTTACAGTGGATAGAACTTCCGAATACAAAATAAGTGCCGTAGAACATGCTTAGTTAACTAGTATTCAACTGTAAGAAGTACCTTAGAAGAATTACGGAGAATATTCCCAACAAGGCGAGATAAAAAAAAACTCTGTTCTTAAGAACCATACATCAACAATGCTCACAGACATTTCGAGATCAAAATCACCTTGATTCTATGGAACAAAATCAGAATAGTAAAAGAGCATATCATCAGCGTATCACAGAATCACAAAGAGAAGCGCTAAAATTAGAAAGTAAGCAGGAACAAAGATAAGTAATAAAAAGGATTAAGTCAACGACTGCTTTCTACGAACGTACGAACACTGAATTACAGTCTAGGAGAGAAGCGCGTAGGTTGATTTCAAAGTTACCTGAAATATTCAAGGATCACTATTACAATTAGATATGATAGAGAATATTTGTACCTCAGGTGGATGATTTTGATATCGTTGTGTTCTCTAAGCTGGATAGTCAATTTGCGAAGCTTTCATCGCCGTACTAGGCGACATCTTCATCGCATACATTAATTCGTTGAAGTGAGCTTTTAGATTTCTCCAAGATTTTATTGATCATCTCTCCTGGTGACCTAGCATATATATATATATATATATATATATATACAGAGAACCACGGACGTCAGTTCGACTGGAACAACCAACATTCAGATATTAGATAGAGGAAACACCAAAAATACTAGAGAATTTTTAGAAGGCTGCCTGGTATTCTAGTGCATCATCAGTCAACAGACACATCGAGATGGACAAAATTTATCAACCGGTAAGAAGGAAACCTCACACATAAAGGGTCAAAGTTAAAGTCAAAGAAACAATCAGTTCCAACACAAGTAACCTAGAAGGTGTGTGCGTCGGTGTCAAAGCGGTTAGGACGCTCGCCAACCATGCACATGGTCTGGGGTTCAATCCCCGGCCGACGCACTCCTTTACCTCGCTAAGCCAGAAATAATGCTGGTAAAGAGGAAAGTTCGGGCATGAGGCTAGCAACTCCATCCTGTAAAAATAAACACTGCTACTTCAAGCCACTAGCTTGAAGCCCTATGTTCCCCTGGGGAACGTGAAGGAAGAAAAGAAGGTGTGAAAACATACAAAAACAACCACTCACGTTCAAGGTCACTCACCAGGAGAGGTGATTAATAAACTCGCGGAGAAATCTAAAAGCTCACTTCAATGAATTGATGTATGCGCTGAAGGTGTCGCCTAGTAGGGTGATGAAAGCTTCTCAAATTGACTGTCCAGCTCAGAGAACACAACCACATTAAAAACTGCTATTATTAGATGGTTCAGGAGAGGTTTCTCAGATGATTATTCCGCCACAATAATTCATACTTTAAAATGTTTTGAACTCCATGAGTTACAACCACTTTTAGGCAGTCTGTTGTGTAATGAGCAGTTCCTGAATGTAGAAATCTACAACTAAGTCAGTGATATGTATCCACATGTGTGTTTTGTTTTTGACAGTCTGTTATATTTCGCTATGTATATATGGATCGATATTCTATTATAATTAACAATCATGTTAAGACTGTCTATTGATTCGTTCATTTTTGAACATTCGCTCACACACTTGTTCGGACATTTATACTATTTCACTCACACACTTGTGTGACATTGATTTTCCTTGTTTGGAAAATACAGGTATCATCGTGAACCTGGTAGTTTTCTGATTTCCGCTTTCTTGCGTCAGGACTATTAACTCACTCAGCAGCAGTACATAACAGTCAGTCAGATCATTAGTAATTCGCTGCATCTCAGTGACTAGTCACAAGATAAACTTTCTAAAACTCTATGCAAAGGTCAAGATTGAGACGGATCGTTCAGGTTGTAACCAGTTGAGAAGAATGAGCTCATATGATCCTGGTACACTTGTTGTTCTTGCTTTGTTCAATTTTATTAATGGGGAGAATTGCATGAAGTTTTTGAAGTGATTTTGTTGATTTGTGTGCGACGTCAACTCCTAGAGGCTTGAATAATCTTGCAGTGATTTATGAGATGTCCTCTATATACACTAGAGCGATTTTCTTTATACTTTCCTTGGTTGGGACCTTTGATTTGGTAGGTTGGCAGCTTGGGGTTACATGTCTTTTGATAAAATTCCGTAGATATCCATTCTTTTAGAAGACATCCACGAGATGTCTTTCTTCAATTTTCCTTAAGGTACAAAATGCAAACCATATCAACTGATAATTAACATAAATCACATCTGGTGGTGGAGCAAGTTCCACTTACAGGAGCATCCTCCTGTTGACATCTTTCAGCAGTACAGTTGTCTATGCATGAAAGACCTAGAATATGAAGGACATTCAATCCTAGATCCATTTTTTAACTGTCATTGAAAAAGGAACCTCGAAAAGTAACTTGAGATGACCTTTGTTAGCTAAAATCGTTAACAATAAATTGTGTTTAGAAATCTAATACTAGAACTGATAAGTGGCACAGTAGATATTATTGGAGGTAGTGATCTGTATATACATTATTTTGATCTTTTCCTGTCTAAATCATTTCATTTTTATTCAAATGTTTTAGATGGTGAAGAAAGAATCACTTTAAGAATTGGCGGTAAAAGTGATCTGACGAATCATGTGACGATTAAAGAAGGTGAAAATGTTCAACTGAATTGTACTGCTCATGGTAGGTAAAATCACATTTCAATTGAGAAAGGAAGATTTTAAATTAGATTTAAAAAGATGCATTTTCCAGAAATTAGCTTTTATCATTTTCAGAAGTTTTATTATTATTATTACTTATATACCAATAGTTGTATTTAGATTATGGGTTCTTGTAGAAATTTGGATGAATTTCAATGCAGAATTCGTCACGAACAAAAATCAGATAGGGGGCATTGAAATTCCAGTTTAATTGGCCGAATGGAATGGTTAGCTACCTTGGTCTTGTAACCTGAAGGTCCTAAAGTTCTATCCCTGGTGAAGTCGTGAGTATGTACAACTCGAGAGTTCTAGACTAGTGTATGACAGGAGACAAGGGCCAGACAACAGATCGTTTATTCAGAAAATCAACAGATATTTATAGATTTTTATGTACATAATTGCCAGCGGAAAAGCAAGGTCTTCTGATTGGTTGCTTTCTTTCTGAAAGTTATTGTGTACAACTTGTGACAATTTCTTAGAAAGTTAAGCCATATATCAGCGAATCGTATTTGCACACGTTAAGTTTGCTGTGATTGATAAGTGATTTCCTCAAGGTTGAGCATTTTTATGGTCACCAATGCTATTGCTAATTGTGGCAGACTGACTGGGTTATGCGTCAGACAGTGAGTGGGAAACGAGAAGACAGGGATATACTGGACCGACGTGAAGAAGACCTAGAAGACCTGGATTTCGCGTGTGGATGATTTGTTTGTTGTCACACAAATTTGAAAACTTACGAGGGAAAACTGACAAATTGGTCGAAGAAGCAGTCGGCGAAGACACGACTCCAGGTGAACATGGACAAGACGGAGGTAATGAAAATAACCAGCCAACAACAACAAAGCAATAGCAACATCCAGCGCCAATCACCATCAACGGTAGGGATCTGAAAGAGGTTACTTCATTCACTTATCTAGCATTGAGCATTGTCTCAACTACAGGTAGTTGGAACAGATGAGGATGTCTAATCGAGCGAGAATCGGGAAGACGAGAAACACACACATTCATCAACCTGCAATCAATCTGGAAATCTTCGTCACTCAGCCAGCATCAACAACAAAATTCTGTCGGATTTTCAATACAAACAACGTCAAGTCAGTCAGTTCTTCTATGCGGAACGGGTGAGAAACTTGGCGGGTGGGTCACAAGGAATATTCCCAACAGACTATTGCAGACCAGACCTTTATCAACCAACAACTGTCTTCGCTCTATACTGAAGATCAGATGGCCGGTCCGGAAGTAATCACCAACAAGAAACTATGGAAACAAACAAACAAAACAAGAACCGGTCCCCCAACAGGTATGCAGGAGAAAGTGGATTGAGATGGATTGGACATTCAATCCCGGAGAAGGCCGCTGGGTGACATCGCGCGTGCGTCAGGCCATTTCTCGAGTGGAACCAGGTCGAAAGGGAAGCGGCGAGTGGGATGTCAGTGCAAGGGTGGCATGGAGGAGATCGTGTGAAGAGGAGTTGAAAGAGTATGAACTAACATGAATGCAGGTGAAAAGTACAGCAGATGGAAGACAAAAGTGGCAAGTGGAGACGTGCAGTTGCAGCCCTATACTTTACTAGGAACCCAAGGGAACAATAATAATAATAATTGTTTTTCTCATAACCCCGATTCGGGAGATAACAATGACGTAAATTTTTGTCCACTATTTCGGCTTTTTCGCAGCCAGCTCTTACCATAATGAGACGAAACTGTACTTGCCTGCTCCGTGGCTTTCAATGATTCTAACCGATGAAGGTTCACAAGGGAATCTATGTCAAAGTAGTAAAATTATTAGTAGGAGTGGTAAGGTTAGTGCTGTAAAAAGGAAAAATGACAAGTCTACGAAATGATCAATACCAACAAAAGAATTTTCAAAAACTTTTGAAGATAATTACTGACAGTGAGGATCATCATGACAGCCGGATACATCACTCACGGAGAATTCCAAAAGCACACTCCACATTTAATGGTGTCATGAATAAGGATAATGAAAGCTTCGTAATTGAAATAGTCTGTTTAGAGAATAGAAATCTAAATAAAATATGGCTTCCTATCCATAGCTTCTGACCATTTGGTATCTATTACAAAGCAATATATATGTAGGTAATAATAATAATAACAACTTGCTTTATTCCAAAAACAGTACTAGTGATACAGCAAAGAATTTTCATCATTCATTACAATATTGCATCTAATTTACTCAAAAACGACAAAAAAATTAAAAATACACATTACGCAACTGTAATAAAACGATTTTTATAGCAGCTATATAGCAAAATACTGTATGCAATACGGAGAAAAATATGCATAAAGTATAAAATTGTGGTAATAATAGTAATACCAACTAAAATAAAATAGCAGAGTAATAATTAAACGACAGAAAGTGTGATACCATAAAATACAGAAAGATGAACGATGAAAGGGTCGATTCACTGCGCTAATTACATAGTAACTTATGTGTTTCACGTCTAGCAGAGTCTTCGTCACATAAAGTACGGGCTAAATAGGGTATTGTAGAATTTCTGTACTTAGTGGTACGAGCATATAACTTTTTATATTGACTTCTCGTCCTACCTGGTGAGATACAAGGGGATAGGTGTGAATAAAGGGGGTGCAGAGGGTCTGACAGTACAGTCTTTGCCCATTTTGTACAGGAATTTATATGCCTCTCGACTATAGTATTGACGAGCTCACGCAGTGGCAGACCACAAGCCCTACTCACATCATTTAATACCCTTCGTAATATGATATAGTCTTTTCTGAGAAGCCCAGGACAGATTAATGGAGAGCAATAGAGTACAATAGGTAAAATACAGGAGTTTAAAAATTGCAAAACTAAAGGTTGGTTGATACCTGATTGTCCTAACTTTTTAATGTAGGAGGTAAGACGAAAAATTTTCTTAGAGATAGATAAGATATGGGATGACCATGAAAGGTCAGAGGAAAGAACTAATCCAAGGTATTTAATGCTTGACTTGGTTTCAATTTCCGTGCCATCCATGCTACAGGCATCATGGGAACTAACTAGTTCATGCATGTCACGTCGATGCTTGAAAGTGAAGTTAACCGCCTGACATTTGGAAGGATTTAACATAAGACCATTTGACTTAGACCACTTGTTGATGTCCAACAGAAAGCTATTAAGTTTGGAGCAGTCAGACTCGGAAGTGATAGGCAGTGATACATACAGTCAGATCATCTGCATATTTGACAAAGTTAGTTTCGTTTGAATGAGGCAGGTCATGTAAGAAGAAAGAAAAAGGAAAAGGAGAGAGAACGGCACTTTGAGGAACACCGGATTTTGTAAGCGAGGTATGGAGTGCGCGGAACACGTTTCAAGATTTCGTGATAGTACTTTCAATGTGTGTGTGTCATCTAAACCAGAAGAATTTAGAGTTCAGAGAGTATTAGATTGCTTACCAGCGGATGAATTTTGTCAATGGGCTCACTTCTGAAAGTCAATCCCCAGTGATGTGACTGCTGCCTACTGCTGAATAATCCCAAACTAGGCCGAAATGGCTATTCATTCAGCCATGGTTTCTAATATTTAGCTTGCTCGAAATCACTAAGGAAACTGTGGAAACTGCAGCAAAACTGGACAGTAGTCCATCTTTTTTTGTCAACCATCCTCAACTCTTTTTTGGTAAAGCAAACACCCAATAAAGAATAATTCCAAGGTAGTAAAGTAACCTTCACATTCACACTTACCACATATATCTTGCAGTGAGAAACGCTTAAATGAATCAAAGGCAAATAAAGAACTAGGATGGAGGTTAACTGGCATGCAGTATTTTGATGTGGTTTTGTTCTCTGAGCTGGATAGTTAGTTTGCGAAGCTTTCATCACCTTACTGGGTGACATCTTCAGCGCATACTTCAAATTGAAGTGAGCAGTATTTCAAAGATAATCCATGGAAATACCGATTTTGTCTTTGAGTTGTATGTATCTCAGCAGTACTTCGAAGATTGAGGCTGTTTTGGTAACTGCTGAGATATAAAGTAATGTACACAGTTGTGACCTCATGCAGCACAGGTGAGTATTTTGAAAGCCAGTCAGGGTCGGGAAAACAAAGGAGGTGTTAATTACGTTGAAATCTATATGGATATTTGATGGTGTTTTCATATAGTTCAGGGATTCTGTGAACGCATCACTAAAAGTATTTCGATAACCTACTATAGACAATCTTTGAAAAATAGGGAGTACTGGAAAGATGTTCCGTACTAGTTTTGGGTCGAAGCTAGAACCTTCAAATCAGGAGAGGAAACCCAGTGGCGTCATGGGTGCACTTTTCATAAGAGTCCAGAACCAAGACAAAAACAGGCGTCTAGTACTTCCTGGTATTCAATGACTTCCCAACTGATATCGCTTCCTGGTCGCAAAATTAGAGGTGTTCTCAGATTGACACATCATATCAAGCATTCTGAAGATCATTTGTAAGTTCCACATACGACCAGTATAAGTAGACGTATACAATAATTCTTATGCTATTTCCTTACTTGTTGTTTTTTACCCAGATACTGTAACAGGAAGACTTTTAACTGATGGTGATCTTCATTTCGGTTGGCGATTACTTGGTGCATATGAAGAAACTGTTCCTGAGGCTAGTTTAGCTAGACAATCAGTAGAATCGTATATAACAGATAATGGGAATACTGGTGTATTTATTGTACAAGATGCTCGTCCATCACCAAATCTACCTCAACCGACAGCACGTATCCAATGTTTGGCTACTTCTTACACAGAAGGTGTTACCTATTACAGTTCACTTGTTGACTTTATTGTTTATCCAGATGAGATACCAATAGATCATGTGAAAGATGTTAAAGATAGAGGTAAGTATAATCTTTCTAATAGATCTGGAATTTTTGAGAGGAAGAAAATTCTGTTTCGTCGTATATACTACTTATGAGAAACAAGAGTAGTTGGCGTGAAAGCAGATTTCATGCTGACTACGGTTAAATTGCAATGGACATTGACAAAATAATATTTCATGCAGTTATTCCCCTTTTCATAACAAGATGGTAGCATTGTTTATTTCATCAGCCTGTCATCAACTGTGTACAGCCTCAAGAAACTGTTAGGTTTATGTAGACAATAATCTTAACATTTTAGTTTGAAAATCCCCATTGAGTCATATGAGAAAGAGAAGACGTTCAGCGAAGCGACTCTTTTCGACGGCGAATTCATTCACATAGCTGTACAATCGCAGTTATGTATAATTATTTGTGTGTACGCGTGTACATGAGGTTTGTCAAGTTTAGATAATTAATCAGGTAATACAAGAATGATCTAATATAGAAACAAGGTTAATCAGACAGCAACTAAAGCAACTAAGATTGAGTTAGTTAGTAAGTTAGATGACGTAATATAATTGACTAGAATGTTTCAACTTAGGTCAGGGTAGCAACAGAGGTGATTACAGGTAGAGATTAAGTAGAAGTGGGGTAGAGAATAGTACCATTTAAATTAGAACTGAAATTGAACAAATAAGTTGGATGACGTAACATAAATGACTAGAAATTGAGCGTTGGTTAAGTCAGTAACAGTGGTAGTGGGATGTAGAAATTAAATCGGGTGGGGGTAAAGAACAAGAAAGTTGAAAATGTAAAATATTACAATTGAGAAGACAAAATAATACTAATGAAGAGACAGAAAAGAAAAAGGATTATGTAGAATTTACTTATCGGGTAATAAGATAGATTAAGTCCATTGCAAGTGTAGTGATTAAACGAACTTCTTCTGCATGCATAGTTCGGGACTTAGCAAGTGAATCGCCATTGCTTCTGCAGTTTGAAGAAGTGTGATTCGTCACCTTTAGGAAGACTACTTCTTACTCTGTAGACGACTTTGAAGTTTGTTTGGGGTTTACCTTGGTGTCCAGATTCTATCAGATGTTCTAAGATGGAGCTGCAAAGGCGTCGTTTCTCTCCTTTGTGTTGGTAAGTGTTCGGTGATACGTTTGGAAAGCTAACGCTGGGTACGGCTGACATACCTGGCTCCACACGAGCAGTGAGCTGATAAATACACATTGATGTGGCCAGCAGTGGTAGCTTATCCTTCACGTTCACATGAATCATAGGTTTTGTGGAGAAGGTTAGTTGTAGTTCAGCTGCATGGGCGGCTTTTGTGGCCTAGGATCCATAGATTTTGAAATAAATTTTCTGGATGACAATTCTCGACAAGGATTCTTTTGAGATTGTCCACTTCATCTTTTATGGTGTCCAGCGTGCAAAGTCTGTGAACTCTGTAGCTGAGTGAAAGGATCAGGTTTCGTTTGGTGTAGAAGAGTACCCAACTGTTAAAGTTAGCAAGCTGTCCGTTCCACGTCGACTTTCTGCAGATTGATCTTTTCAGTGTTCCATTCTGTTCTCGTCTTGTTAGATGGACGTCAAGAAAGGATATTTTCGAGTTTGATTCCTTCTCCAGCGTGAAGTGAATCGCGGGGTGGCAGTTGTTAAACATATTTGAAACTGACGAGGTGCCAGTTGACAGGAGACTCCAAACCTAAATAAATAGTGCTAGAAAATTAGGCTTACACAGTTTATACATGGAAGGCTCAAGTTTAAACACAAAAATGAATGAAAAAATAAAAGGTGGATAAAATGATGAGTAACTATGTTATGAGTTCAACTCAAATGGTGTAAATAAAAGATATGCAAAATTACTTTATGGAAAAAGGGGAAAAAGCTAAAGGCAAAGATTGCGTAATCAGATGAAATAAAAGATATTCATTCAGACATCTATAAAACACAAATTAATTGAGCATAGAATATCCTCTTCAATAATTTCCTCTTCTGGCTCTACAATTATATAAATGTTTATACACATAGAATATTCTAGAATAGTAGTCAATAACAATATTAATGTGTATTAGCCAATTGACTGTTCCTATGGAGCCAGTTAGTTACATGGGCCGTAGAATTAGGCGTGTTTCTCGTCGGATTTCCGAACATTATCCTCCATATTGGTTGGTTAAGTAAAGGACAAACAAAATCTATTTTTGGTGCTATTCTATCTCACTCATCTTGTGGATACAATGGAACAGAAGATTGATGTCAACGAGGTGACTTTCAAAATCATCTAACGCATACCAACAATTCTCAATTTCACCTTAAGAGTTCGACTACTAAATATGCTGAGGCTGTTGGGATCCACATTAAGAAGCCTAATTTACGCGTCTAAATGAAGCTAGTTCAGACAGTGTCTTTACCTTGGCCATCTAAGTTCGAATGATCCTCAACTTTTTACAGAAATTTTCTAAATTTTAGTTGATATTCTGTTTACTATTACATTTTTATTCTTATCATAATTTAAGTAGCTTTCGCGATCTGTAATTCCACTGATCTTACTTAACAAATCGATATTATTTGAAAAACACTAATATTGTCATTAACTACTATTCCAGAATATTGCATATATATATATATATATATATATAGTTGCAGAACCAGTATAGGAAATTATCGAAAAGGATATTCGTTGCTCGATTATTCCGTGTTTTATAAAATAAAAGAGACAGTTAAGGCATCTAGTTATCAGGGCAAAGAAACACTGATAACTGTTTCTTTCTGATGAACACATTAATCGGATTTCAAGTGCTTGATATCAGTTGCTTTGACACTGATAATAATAATAATAATAATAATAATAATAAGGGATAAGAAGAGAGGATTTGAAAATATAAGTAGTGGGTGGTGGAGTAGTCATCAGTGGTTATGTCTTAATAGTCCAATAAGGGAGAGATAATGGCTGTACGAACTTCTTTTGAATGCACAGTTTATGTTCAATAGTTGGAATGTCTATCGCCTTAGCTGTGTGCAGAGTAGATGAATACGAAGTCTATTGGAAAGATTCGATGGGATACGATGAATTACTTTGAAGCCTCTCGTTTTCTTCACTACATGACCAATATCAATAATTAAATGTGACAAAATTGAGCTATGGATTTTATTGTTTGTCCTTTGCCAAACCACTACAATAGGAGATGTTTAGTAACACGTGGTTAAGCTGTCTAGTAGTACGCCCAACGAAATCATTGCAGACATTTCAGCCACAATGAAAATCAACTGTGCCCTACACTTGAATTCATATGATATTTCTGAAAGTTGTATATGCGAAGGGGAATTTAGGATACAGAAAGATTGAGCAAGGGAAGAAATATTTACTTTTCAATTAGATCCTCATCTCACTCTGGCTCTACTCTAATACATTATGTATAGGATTTTTATTACATTACACAACAGTTTATCAATCAAGTGACGTTATGTTTGTTAACAATAATAATTTGTCAGTGTCAAAATGTCAATGGGTTGATAATCAACCAAGAAAATCAATACACACAATTAAAAGGTAGAATGGTTAGAATAAATTAATTGTACAAGGATAACGCGTAACTAAAGATGAAGTGGTCAGAAAATATAAAATAATTTGAACAATTAAAATTTTTATAACTTTTAAGGTTTAAGGGAACGGGGGCTAAGTCGTCCGGTTTACACATTCATCTAGTGACGGCCAAGGTAGGGAAAGTGGTTGTACGGAATTCTTCTGAACACACAGGTTTGGCTTCTTCATTCCATTCCCATGGCTTCAGCTATATGTAGAAGACGAACTCATAGAGCAAAATAAAGATTAGTAGGAATGTGATAAATAATTTTAAATGCAGTATTAACTTTAACCTTATACTCATTATCTACAACGTGTGCTAAAACAGAGCTAGCTAGGAATAGATCTTGTTTGTCCTCTGCTTAACCATGATGAACCTGCCTAATAGTACGCCCGATGTAGCTGGCTCCGCAGCTGCAGTCAAACTGGTAGATACACACAGAGGAGGCAAATTTCGTTAGTTTATCCGAACGTAGAATAGGGGTGGTTGTGAAGATACAACGTACCTCTGCTGCATGATAAGCTCTTTTAACTGCATTCTTCGGGCGCTATGTTTTTATTTCGCTGATGTTGTCACCGAGGAACTGCAGTTTTATGAACATTGGTTTTTTTCGGAACTGTTGCCATACTGACTCTCTTAGGTACTGAATTCATATTTTTCTCAATGAATTTATCTGGATAACCATTTTTTCTTAGTAATTCTCTAATATTCTTAAGCTCCTCATTGAGGCAATCGTTTGAATAGATTAACCTAGCTCTGTAAACCAGACACTTTACCAGGTTACGTTTGCATTTCAAAGGTACAAAACTCAAAAAAAAATGAGTGTAATAACCTGTTGTTATTGTAGGTTTCCTATACACACTCCTTCTTAGTGTGCCATCTTCTTTCCTTGCCATGAAGAATACTTTTAACTCTATTGAATGAGTCGGGTATGCTAACACGCCACTGATAAACTAATTCCAAAAATTAGCAATAATAATAATAACTTCCAAAGCGCTTATTGAGATGATGAGTGCACGTTTATGGAGATAGGTATTGAAATAAAGCTTCAATCTGAAAGCAGATATCTAACAGGTAAGCCTTGGACAGAAAGAAGTATATATATATATATATATATATATTCTGGATATATGTTCCACCCACAGACTTCCAGGCTGGGGTCCTCGGGACGGTAAAAATCTATGGTTGGAAACAATTGGTGACATGGCTCAAAATCGTTCCCAGTGGCGCAGATGCATCCACTCCTTGTGACTTATGATCTCCAATGAAACTGTTTTGTTCTTCGTTATTACTCCTTTGTCTCACACCTCTGCTCACTGTTTCTATTATGCTTTTCTTGTACTTTCTTCTCTTGCTTCGCGTGCTACACGGAGTGTGGGGACTTGAACTGCTGCACATTTGTGCAAAGTTCTATGTCGAAAACAGACAGACAGAAGACCACCCACTACTCATCAGTGGTCCATTAATTGACAGTCTATTTTTTCACCAGAGGTCACCCAAAGTGTAGGACAAACAGGCATCTTCCTCTCAGAAACTATAGTTTTTAAATAAATTACCTGGGATTTATTTGTGAAGCGCTGATATGAATCAGTGAAGAGATTTTCTCTCAATACGGATTATTTCTCTTTATTTTAGAAAAACTAAATCGTCTGACAGTCAATGTTATTGGTTTGGATAATCGTGGAAAGTTGTCTGGAACTGAAGGTTCCTCAGTTAACCTAGAATGCATTGCTAAAGGTAAGTGTGATGGTTTGTTTTGTTGTTGTTTGTCCGTTGACCCTCACCGCTGTAAAGTGAGACAGTTATACCATGCTTCGAGAATTCCAAAATCTCATTTCACATTGAAGTCAGCACCGATGTTATTTATCTAGAATGACGTTGAAAGATTTTACAAATAAACCATCCAGCTTACAGGGCACAATCATAAGAAAAATATTCACTTGACAAAATGGGAAAGTAGTATCTTACTTTATCGTTAATATCGTTAATTTGAGTATTTTCCCCCGGTCTAAATTCTCTAATGAATTTATCATTAAATTGAAAATTTTAAAATCCTCCAAAGGAAGTTTTTAAGTTCGAATCTCAGAAGGCACATGAATTCCTTTAAGGTTGTAGATACGCCTTGCTGACTGGTGAGTGCCAACTAGCACAAAACCTAGGTCCGAGGCTTCCTGTCGATTGCCTCCAACTATTCAATATATCATCAGATCAATGTGTACCGTGATAGCGAGCTACCTAGTGGCATGGTGGCCACATTACAAAAGCTGACTGATAGAATTCAGTCTGCACCAAAGAAAGGACTAGATACGTCACACTAGTTACTAGTGTCCAATCGAAGTCTTTCAGAAGTTTTCAGATCAATTCACTAATACTCTGAAACCAAAGAGTTTCCTAGTATAGATATTGTAAGAAGGTAGAAAGATTCAAGTATAGTCTTGCTACAGCTGAAATATTAACCTTCATAATCTAGTTTCTGAGGAAACTTCAATGTTCAAATCTCGTATAAGAGGTTGAAGTGTTGACTAGCGATAGAATCCACTTTATTCCTTGTGGAATATGATGATTGATGTATCTTCGCCTCATTCTCTGACACTTTCTTTTTCACTCAGATTCGAACTAGGAATGATTCAAATGGTTCATAAGTCTAATGCATAGCGATTTGATGTTTGAAGTGATCAACGCTTGCTTGGACCATGCACATGCTCCGGGTTCGATTCCTGGCCGACGTACACCTGATATCAATGATTAGCCTGCAAAATTTGGGTTAACTATATCACATGCTGAAAATTCTATACTTTTACCAAAAATACCGTGTGAAATCAAAGAAATAATAATAAATAAGTCAGTCACTGAGGGGGTTATTTCATTCAGGAGAAATAAAGAAAGTTAAAATGTTTTGTTTTAACTATAAAACTAGACACAATCAATCAGAATACATGCTAAGATACAAATGGTCTTATTGAGAAGTTCACTTTTATCATAACATCTGTAAAAAGGATGACGCCAATAATTAGATAAAAAAAGGAAACGAGTAGTAACTTGCAAATCGAAGGAAAGAATTCCTTAATAATGATGAAATCTTAAGTGAAGGAGTGAAAGGAGGTGGAGCGTATATATTTCCCCTTTATATGTTGGAGATTTATAGCTCAGGCGAATTATTTTGGCGTAATTGTATACTCTGAGCTGGAGAGCTCAGAGAAGGTTCACTGACTCTGCTCTAACATGAAAAGTGTTCCCTGGACTTCATGGATTTATCTGATAGTCCGTAACCTTCTTCTAGTCTTCTTGTCTTAATAGATCTGAGACAACAAAGGAGGATAATAAGTTGTGTGGATTTTCCACCACTCAAGACGATTATCCTAATCGAGGTTGGTTCTTCCAAAATGCTATATTCAAAATACTCTTTCCGTGAACCTATGACAATGTGAATGGTGGACTCTCCTAAATTTACGCTTAAGTACTGCTGATTAATACTGCTTTGCACGAAGTCAACTCCACAGTGACCTTGCAAATGACTTCTCCCGAAATTTGAAATTCTACTCTCAAAGACTCTGCAGATAGTAGATAGTTCAGTGAGCCTCTCTGATCAATTGAGACAGCATCGACTCGATAACCGGCAGGTTTATGATTCAAATCATCATTCTTGATTCAAACTTATACTTTTGACATTAATTATCCCCTGCATATTAACGTACCCTGAATTCATTCCTCGTGTTATTCAACTTTATTATTATTATTAAGATCGTTCAACTAAACAGCCTACTAAAGAGTCAGTACACTATGGATGGGAATTTAGTCGATTAGACGGAACTCCAGTTGATACAACTGCATTGATTGGTTCAGGTGAAAGTAAACTAGAAATGCGTGAGAATCGTTTAACACTTCAAGGATTAAAACAAACAACATCAATTCGTGGTCGATGTCGTGTATCAATACCACCAGAAGAGGTAACCGATGAGACACAAGTACCATCCACTGAAGAAGTATTCTATTCACCATACTTTAGATTTGATGTAACTGATGCAACTGGAAGTGGACGTAGAGATTTCGCTCCACCAGCACAGCCAAGTAAGTTTGCACTTAAATTATTGATTTTTTTTTACTGAAAATGCGTATTCTAAATTGGTTAATAAACTGACAAACGTGAAAGATGTCAAATGAACTGTAGCATCCTAATTACTGTGTTTCGCATGCCAAACATTCGTAGATTGCAGCTCAAGGTGTTCAAAAGACTCTGCATTTTATCAGCGTGTCAGCCTAGAAGGAAAACTATATCATCTGCATACTCTTAGTCAACGAGATTGTTACCCTGTGGGGTAACAAGTCAATGCCTGAGTCTCTGAAGTGAGTTAGGGTTAAATCCACTAGTACATCTATGATGAAATTGAAAAGAAATGGGGATAATGGGCATCCCTGATGAACACCACTAGTCGTCACCACTTCAGATGACAACTCGCCGTAAGCTCTCATCTGGATGGCTTCATGAGTTCGAGTAGAGTGCCTTGATCAGTGCAATGTATTTTCTCGGCATTCCTTTGACAGCCAAACATCGCCAGAGTACCTCTCGGTCGACAGAATCGAATGCCGAATTTATGTAAAGAAATATAATGATTGTTGGACGCCGGTAAGAATGCCTATGTTCCAGAATCTGTCGGAGGGTGAAGATATGATCAATACACCCTCTTCCTGATCTAAAGCCTGCCTGGTTCTCTCGTGTTTGTGTCTCTCGAGCACTGCTTAGTCTACGCAATATTATTGAGCCTTGGACTTTAGATACTATATTAGTCAAGCTAATCCCTTTGTGATTATCACAGGAAGACTTGTCTCCCTTCTTGTATATCGGGATAATCAATGACTTACACCAACCTGATAGGACTTCCTGTGATTCCCAGACAGTGCCTAGTACCTCAGTTAACGCAGACAGTAAACTGTCTCCGCCATACTTAAATACCTCTGGAGTCATTCCATCACGTCCTGCTACTTTGCCTTGTTTCAGACTAGTGACTGCTTTAGTAAACTCAGTTAAGGACGGAAGACATGTGTCTATATCCCATTCAGGGAGTTGTTGGATGTTCGGCAAGTTGAGCGGAACACAGTAGAACATAGGGCTTTAGGAATCTTGAAGTTTCAGCAGACGTGCTACTGTTTTTTTACAGAGTGGATTTACAAAACTCAGATTTCATCTTACTTCTTTCTCTGGGTTTACTATCGGTTGATTAGATTCGAGGAGTGTATCGGCCGGGAATCGAACCCAAACCGTGTGAGTTACTAATGAGCATCCTACCACTGACTTACCAGTTCTCAGATGCGTTGAAGAATGTGACTGGTTACAAATATTCTCTGTTTTTTTTTAATTGTACTCCGAGTGGAAATCACATATAAACTGATAAAATGAGACGACATGAGTACTTCACTTTCTACAAAAGTGACCTACTTCCACATGAGAAAATGTGTCGATGTGTTTGTACTGGATACTTAGCTAAAATTCTCACAGACAAAAAGGAATTTCATACAGTGATTCCCTTTTATAAGTTTGAACAAAGAAAGAAGAAGCATTGGAGCGCAGAATAATCTGGATCCATTTTATTTCGTCAGTTCTCATCAGCACCTGCGTACAACATGAATTCTTTAATACATATAAAAAAGTGTACAAGTTTAACAAACTTTTATCCATTAGCAAGCGCATATTATCAGAGCGTCACAGTAAAATAAGGCGTTATGATTTACAAGGTGTCTAAAGTGTTGATGATGTTAAAGTCGGAATCGGAAAGACAAGATACGCCTTCATCAATGAATCTGAAACTAATTTGGAAATCTTTTGCAGTCAACATAAGGAACAATATTTGTATTTTCACCACCAATATCAAGTCGGTCCTTCTATACAGCTGGGAAACTTGAACAACGTGTCATGAAGAGGATTTCCAACAGCTTGTTGCAGACTTTTATCAACAGTTGCTCACTTCACTGGCTGGCTCCATACTGAAGATCAGAGAAAAAAAAAGAAACAAAAAAATATGTAGGAGAAAGCGGAGATGGATTGGGTATACAATGAGGAGAACATCGAATGATATTGCGCGCCAGGTATACTCTCGTATAGAATCCCAATGGTTGACACGGGGTGAGATCATTTGGGGAGTTGGAGATGAGAGGTTGTCGTCAACCGTAGTCTAAGCTGAAGAGGACGACAGAAGGTAGGACAAAATGGAGATGCGTTGTTGAAGCCAGCCGTATGTTTCACTCGGAACTTAAGGGAATTATAATTTAACTAATCATCCCTTAATATCCTTGAGTTTACCTCTAAATCGTTCATATTGTTCAATGAATATTACTGCTGTCATTACTCATAAAACAAGCAATAAAGGTTAATAAAGCAGGATTTAATGAATTCACCGAATTTCGGTAGAACTCGTCAGCTTAATACTCTATATACATACACGGATATATATATACTATTGAGATTACATTCTGTCTGTCTGTCTGTCTGTCTGTTTTCGACATAGAACTATGCACAAATGTGCAGCAGTTCAAGTCGCCACATTCCGTGTAGCACGCGAAGCAAGAGAAGAAAGTACAAGAAAAGCATAATAGAAACAGTGAGCAGAGGTGTGAGACAAAGGAGTAATAAAGAAATACAAAACAGTTTCATTGAAGATCATAAGTCACAAGGAGTGGATGCATCTGCACCAGCCACTGAGAACGATTTTGAGCCATGTCACCAATTGTTTCCAACCATAGATTTTTACCGTCCCGAGGACCCCAGCCTGGAAGTCTACGTGGCTTAGACCAACAGTTGTGGATTTCATTGACTGATGCCAAGTTTTTGTTTGACCGCCGCTAGCTTTTTTCCAGTCTGACCCTATATCCGCTAACATAGCTCGTCGAGGGAGGCGATGGCTTGGCATACGTGACACATGTCCTAACCATCTCAGTCTTTGTAGCTTCACGACTTCGTCGATTGATTTCCCTTGTTTACCTAGAACTCTGCGCCTAGTGAGATTACATTCGGAGATATAAGACTGATAAGTAAACAAACCACATTGAATTAATCATGCAGAAAGACAGGTACGAATGTTTTCCAAGTCATGTTCAAATACATAAGGGGAGAGAGAGTATGAGAGATCAAAATTAAGATAAAACTGCATTACGCTTCAATTACATCACTAAGATAAGCAATTAGTCATTAGGGAATATAACGAGAATTGCAAACAAACTAGTATCAATAGTAATAGTTATAATAACAATTATAATAATAGTGTTGAAGTGAGTTAAGATAATGCTAATGAATAAAGAATAATAGTAATAATAATAAGAGGTAGAATAATGAGTAAAACGTATTACCATGGTAGATTCAGAGTCACTACCATCTCCTTTTGTATACAGAGAGCTGGTTTATAAATTCGAATTGCACAGGCCTCTGCAATTGCAAGCATCTTCTTGTTTCTTTGTCTGCTGACAATAACAGTGAATGACTTGACCGCGTCGATATCATGTCCGTAATCCACAAGATGTTTTGTTATTGAGGATTTTGACACTTTGCACTCAGCTGTTTTTAACCATTTTGGCAAATGCTCCATCATGATTTGAGTAGATAATCGCCTTTCCGTACGACCTATGTATTTGCTGCCACAAACACACTCAAATTGATATATGCGGTTCGAAGTGTCGAGGATTGGCGACTGGTCTTTCTCAGATTGTTGAAGCACTCGCTTGGTGGTGTTAAGGATAACAAGTTTTGCAGCATAATAAGTTCTCTTGATGGCTATGTCGAATCTTCGTTTGACTACTTCCTGTACGTCAACTCCTTTGAACGGTAAATTGATATAGACAGGTTTCTTTGGAACTGTTTGAATTGTTTTGCAGGGGGTAATTTCTTTAGAGTATTTATTAATGAACTTCTCAGGATATCCATTCTTAGATAAAATATCCTTCAGAGATTTTATTTCATGTTCAATAGTACTGTCAGAACAAATTTTTCGTGCTCTATTGAGTTCTATCGAAATTTGATGAATTCATTAAATCATCCTGCTTTATTAACCATTATTGCTTGTTTTAAATTCGTATCGGGAAATAAATGTTTTCAATTACTCATAAAATTTTATTCTGCGTAATGCTTGTTTTTGTATTCAATTATATAATTTTATTCTTATACAGTTATTACCACGAAGGATAGTGATATCTTTGTGAAAGTTGAAGGATTGGATGAGAATGGAGCTCTGACAGCTGATAAAGGAGAAGACGTTGAATTGAAATGTGTTGCAATCAGTAAGTGATTTCATTACTATGTTGTAATATGTTTATATTAATATTACTGCTATTATTAATATTGTGGTTTTTAGGATACCCATCGGCTTTCTTAGATGAATGACAACAGACATATATTGGCTAGATCTCAGAAGCTAACTGCCATTATTATTATTATTATTATCATACCTGAGAGCACAAACAGAGTATTTCGTAGCCTATTCTACAGAATAGATCCTGAACAAACTCAACTAGAAACAAGAATTGTTGGTTAAAGGATCAATCCTGTGGAGCCAATAATACAAAACAATTTAGTTGATCTAATACCACCCCTGCCTGCAATGACTGTCAGGTAAAATACATAGGCAAAACTAGTAGAACAGGTGCAGTGAGTCAGACTAGCCAAGCGTAGAAACCTAACGAAATCTAGATTAGTTGACCCCAATAATAAGATAAGAAATCGAGAGAATACTTCAACCATAGCACTCACTACATTCAATTACACACAAGCATAAGATGACAGTTCTAAAATCTAATGTAGCAGAAGGGTGGAGGGAGAGATTGATGTCAACGGAAGCTTTTTTGGGGAATCAACTAAAAACACGTGTAATAGGAGTGATTCGACATCTGTCTACCCTGATATCTGGAAAGTCCCATTACCCCAACGACGAAAAATAGGAGAGAGTAAAGAAAACTATAAACTGAGGTTTCGAAGTCGTGTGATTATAATTGGTGAAATGATTATGAACAATAATGAATTGTGTTCTAAACTGTGTCATCCAGTAAATGTGATACTGTTTCACTGATATACCTAATAAACAAACTAATATGGAATTGCATGGAGGATTTAATCATGAGATGACATCAGTTAGAGAACCACTGGAAAACCTGGGAGTACTGGACAGCTGTTTCGTCCTAGTTTGGGACTCTTCAGCAGTACTCCCAGGTTTTCCAGTGGTTCTCTAACGGATGTCAGCTCATGATTAAATCCTCCATACAATCAAACAAAATCCCTACAAAACCAATACTTGAAAATTAATCTGTGCTCACTAGTGACTGGCCCTATTCAGGCAGTTAACCTGGGGTTCTAGTGGGAAGCCGTGACCAGTAGGGTACAGCAGGTTGAAGAAGAGGCAGTAACTCATCGAAGAAGACATTGCGAAGTGGTCACGCTATGTCGTGAATTGGCAGAAGTTAGAATTCAAGGACCATTGGATCGGGTCCCAGTGGCTTAATGGTATACGAGCTTGCCTTGTAACCAGAAGGTGCTGGGTTCGAATCCCGGTGGGTGCGTACTGTGAAGAGTCCCAAACTAGGACGGAGCAGCTGTCCAGTACTCCCAGGTTTTCCAGTGGTTCTCTAACTGATGTCAGCTCATGATTAAATCCTCCATACATTCAAACAAAATCCCTACAAAACCAATACTTGATAATATGGAATTACTTATTACCACAGTGCTGCCCAAGTTTTACACATATATTTATATTCTGGACAGTTGAGTTGTGGCCACGAGTAAATCCACTGCTTTAAAAGTATGTAAGGCAAATGGAGTTGTGGGATTACTTTCATATGATTATGAACAATAAATTGTGCTTAGAACATCTAATAACATGGAAAAAGTAAATTCAACTCGAAAACAACGCGTCGAAGGTCATTTCAGTAAAATTATCTTCAATCTTCTTGTAGAAAGTAAGCTGTAAATATGTAATCATTCAACTGATGCCTAAGGCAGAATTTAGCATTCAGTTCAGGTGTGATTTAGTTTTGAGTTAATCTGAGACAGAAATGAAGCTTATACTTTCCTTACCACCAACAGTAGTTTTCAGGGTTGAAATCTAACTCTTGGGAAGTAGTCATATAGTAGTGTACAAAGTAATTTGGTGGATGGTGGTGACTAGCAGTGGAATCCAGGACAATGCGCGTTTTGTCCTATTTGGGACTCGTCATCTGGAAGTGCATGCATTCCTCAGTGAGTTGATTGGTAGTGTTCCCACTGAAACTCGAACCCATTACCCACTGTTTCAAACGCAAAAAAAAGCCTTATCCACTAAACTACTTAATCACGAGAGCCACCTCTCGCTTATTGGTTCTTAGTTGATATAAGTATAAAACTTGAGCTTTTGGTAGAATATAACTCCATTATGGATAAGATTTGATTTGAAAAATCATATGGTGTTATACACTAATATTAACTGATGACGTTACTAAAGATCAGTAAATACCAAAAGCAAAATAAAAATAAATGTGAAACTAGTAGTGATAACATAAATAAGAGAGAATATAAGTCATCTACTGTTATACCATTATAAGGAGGGGACATCTGAGGCCTTACGTAGGACTTTTATTAAAGCAGGAATTAGTGTGGCATTCAAACCTACAAACTCACTTAGGCAGGACAAGCTCTGTAGGCTAAAAGACCCTGTCGGTGGACCCAATTAAACAAAATAATATAATTTACAAAATACCTTGCAATGACTGTGAGTGAGGTCAACTACATAGGTCGAACTAGTAGGTCGGGGTTAGTCGAATTGTCAGAACATAAGAATTTATCTAAGATTAGAATGGTTAACCCCGAGAAGATAAGTAATTTAGAAAAAAGCACTCAGCAGTTGCATTACATGCATTAACACACAACCACACAATAGGGTAGTGGGATAAGGTTAAAATTCTAATAAAGTAATCTACGTAGATGGAGAGAAAGGTTGATTACTGAATCCTGCTTGGTTCATCGAGTCTACACCCAACACATGCAGCAGAAATGACTCAATGCAAATACCAGAAATATGGAAAATATTATTACCGCCAGTCAGTCAAATCAGAAGAGGATAATAAATAATCTCAAAATTCTATTTCAATTCAAGCACATCACAACATTCTAACAAGTTACTTATTATGACTATAAAAACATTCGTCTTATTTCCCATCTGATTGTAATTGATCAATAACACTCATATTATTATTTGTGAATGCACATTATCCTATATTGAATTTTATTCAAATGTCTAATCATGAATTTCACTCATGTATATAAATGAGGCAAAAAGTTGTGTGAGTAGTGCCTTGATATGATAATGAGTGGCATTTTGTCCTAGTCTGTTTACTGTGCGTGATGCAAGGTTTGTACAAACAAACTTTTGAGTCCTGAACATCTCCTGAACCGTTATAATTCCTATTGTAACAACAGAAGACAAGGGCCGGCAACAGATCGGAAATCAGCACGTATTTATATATATTTCATGTACATTATTATAGCTTATTCAAGGAGGCAAACACAGTCTTCTGATTGGTTGTTTCTGGTTTCTCGGAAAGTTAAGCCATCTATCTGAGAATCATATTTGCCCACGTTTAAGTCTGCTGTGATTGGTTGTTGAATCAGCCTTGTTCATATTTTCTCACGGCCAATATTATTGACCTAGACATTGACGTAAATTAATGTCTAACAACTGATTAGCAGCCTGCGCTCACCACACTATGATAAAATCAGGGTTCGAATATAGTATATTAATACTTATACATTCATTTTTTCTACTAAATATTTAGATCAAACTACGAATGAACCGATAACTGAAGAATCTTCAGAAAATCTTGAAGTCAACTATGGATTGGAAGTGATACGTCTCAGTGGATTACCAGCTGCGTATTCAGAACTCGCTCAGTCGATCAGTGTACAACCTGACACTGGTGAATTCAAACTAACCGGACTACGCAGTCAGTCAGATATTAAAGATATCAGAAGGCGTATACAAGGCAGATGTATAGCTGAAATCAAGCAGAAGTCAGATGATCAGCCAATAAAACGTTATGCTAGCCAATATTTCTTAGTCAATGTACCGAAAGATATAGAAGCATTACCAGATTATGTAGATGGTAAGTTTTCAAAATCATTAAAACGGTGAAATAATAATAATAATGCGGTTAACAGGTGATTTTTGTAGATTTCAGAGAAACGAGAATCTCTCACTAGTAGCATGGTGATTTTTGACAGTTGGAGTCAATCGCCATAGGAAGTCCTAACTGACCTAGGTTTCGTACTTGTTGGCACTCATTCACCAGTCAGTCAACAAGGTGTATCTCCAACCCTGAAGGAACAACAACTCATGTCCTTTTCTGAGATTCGAACCCGCATCAGCCAGTGATTGCTGCAGTTAGCAACGTTACCACTGAAGAGTTATTCGGGCTGGCTCATGATTGGCCTCTGTAGGTAAGACGGTATTGGATACTTTCATTGGACACTAGTAACTAATGTGATGTGTCTAGTCCTTTCTTTGATGTAGACTGAATTCTAATATAGAAAAAAAACCCATTTAGACATTTAGAAGACAGAAAGATTGAGGGAAGAAATATTTACTTTTCAATTAGATCCTCATCTCTCTCTGGCTCTACTCTAATATAAACGCGTATAGCATTTTTATTACAATACACAACAGTTTACCAATCGAATGGCGATATGTTTGTTAACAATAATTAATCAGTGCCAGCCTCATGTTCAACCTTCGCCCTTACCAGTCTTATTGCTGGCTTAGCGAGGTGAAGGGTACGTCGCTGGAGGTCAAACCTCGGACCACATGCATGGTCGGCGAGCATTCTACCCTTGTGCCACTGATGCACGGTTCCTTTTTCTTACCTGGCTGAATTTTAACATATTGATCTATTCACTTGGATACCAAGAACTTATATATTTTATATGAATGCTAAGTTACTTACTAGTGAGGATACTAAAAGATGAACAAATTATCTGTTTGGTCATTTGTGTCAAACTTTATTACTTCTTGACGTGAACATTTTTTTTCACTTCTCATATTGTCGGATCGATAATAAGCCTGATCAGTTCAGAGAACTAAATTGCTTGAAACCAGAAGAAGTTTTTTGACCTTTTGACCTTCATAATTCATTTGTTGTTTGTGGGTGGACTTTACTAACCAAGCATACTGTTTCCTTTTCTTTGCGTTCATTTAAAGTATCACGTTCAAGGTATGAAGTAACTGTTGGCGGATTGAATGAATATGGTGTCTTGAAAGTACAGCCAGGACAAAATATTCAACTGAAGTGTATTATTCGAGGTAAGAATATTAATAATAATTATCAGTACTATTTGTCCTTTGTAACATAGGGTCTCAGTAGCACATCTTCAAGGATATTCTGTTTTCTGTCGTCGTTTGTTATTTGAGTGCTCACAATGTTTCATTTATTCTTCATACGATTGCCTCCATGTCTCGTGTCCAGAGCCCCTCAAAACTTCCTTTCTATCTGTCTCCCGCTTGATTCGCTGCCTTACGTGTGACATCAATCAATGCGCTTCACAGAATATGTTTGTCTCTCCATCTGTCTGTTTTCGACATAGAACTTTGCACCGATGTGCGGTAGTTCGAGTAGCCACACTCCTTGTAGCACACAAAGTAAGAGAAGTAGAAGAAATTCTTATTAGAGACAGTAAACAGAGGTGTGAGACAAAGGAATAGTAATAACGAAGAAAGATATAGTTTCATCGGAAATTATAAATCACAAGGAGTGGATGCATCGTCACCAGCCATTGAGGACGATCACTTTGAGCCATATCACCAATTGTTTCCAACCATTGGGGACCTCAACCAGGAAGTCTACACATTCCTACGTGGCTGGCTTAAACTAATTGTTGCGGATTTCATTGACTGATGATGCCATGTTTTGGTTTGACCGCCTCTAGCTCTTTTCCAGCCTGACCCTATGTCAGCTAACATTGCCCGTCGAGTCGAGGAAGGCGATGACTAGGCATACGTAACACATTTCCTAACCATCTCAGTCGATATAACCGCATCACAGCCTCGTCGATTGATTTCCCCTCCCACCTACCTAGCGACTCGACGACTAACCTCACTATTGCTCACCTTATTATACCACTTCACACGGGAGATAAAGCGCAGGCATCTATGATCAAAGACAGCTAATCTTTTCATGTCTTCCACTCTCAATGACCAGGTATCGCAGCCATAAAGTAGGACAGAGCGGACTTCTGAGCAGTACACACGGCCTTTCATCGATAGTCGGATATCACGTCTACGCTAGAGACGGTGTATGCGAAACTAGCCCTCTGTATCCGTGCTGAGATTTCGTCAGAGATCAACCCGTTGGCGCGCCTGATGGTACTTCCCAAATAAGTGAAGCAGTCAACATGCTCCACCACTTCACTCCCTATTTCTCAGCTAGGAGTCAGCGTAGTTCAGTCTTGTACCATCAGCTTACAGAATATTTTTAATCCACCTCCAACACCTTCTGAATATTTTTTAAGCAACAGGTCCTTGAGTGTTTGGTTGTCAGAGTACCTTAACAACATAAATCGTTCACTTTTTTCTTCAAGTATCTTGTCTACTAAATTTCCGTACTTAGTGGCCTTCACAGGCTGCAGCAGATATCCCTGACTGTGTGAAATGTGTGTGATCAGTGTTAAGTTCTAATCTCAGTAGGACTCATCAACAGAGATTCAGACAACGAGTCCTGATGTAACAACAGAAGACAAGGGCCAGCCAAACAGATCTTTATTAAGGAAATCAACAGATATTTATAGATTATTGTTAGCAGAAAAACACAGTCCTCTGATTGGTTGTTTCTCACAGAAAGTTAATCTTTCATCTCTTTGTGGCTGTTTCTTGAATGTCACATCATCTATATGTTAACTGTAACCGCCTACGCAAAATCAGTCTTTGTTCTCATTTTTCTCATGACCAATATTGGGGACAAAAACATTGACGTAAATTACTGTCCACCAATTTTGACTAACAGCCCGCTCTCACGACAAGTACAATTTGAAAAATACACACCAACTGAGACTTCTTGTTTTCTTTCTTCTTTCCTTTCGCCTTCTTTTTCAGACAAAGAAACTGATACACTTATGGATAGTTTAACACCAAATCAATTCATTGGTTGGCAATTCCCTGCCTTACCAAGCGGTTATCAAGTAAATATGGGCGATTTTGCTAGACGTTCAAAAGTCGAGGGAATGAGCTACACTTAGAAGATATACGCAGTGATTTTGCTGATAATCTACAAGGTCGATGTTGGTTTGACGATGGTTTTATGTATTACTATTCATCCTTCTTCCCGATTATCTCACCAAAATCTAGTGAGTAATTTATTTATATTCCTAATATTTCATTTTTTTGGCAAAGTTAAACTTTCGACAGCACTAACAACCAATCAGCAAACGACTTCGAAAGGACCAATCGCATTAAAGAGGCATATATGATGAATGGATCTGTATATTTATAGAAAAAAAGCATAAAATAGATAATAAAAAAGGTTACATGGGATATCTTTCTCAAACATGTGAGAGAAAAATCTCCCAGTTAAGCATCGGACTGTCAATGGAGAAGTAACACCATATCCTGTACATATATTCATCCAAATGACTATAAATGAGATCCTTTTGAGATACATTTATAGCTCTTATCCTATTTTCCAACCCGTCCCAAAATCCTTCATTAGAATTTGTATGTGTCCTCGTAACGGGATCCACAAAATCACTTGAATGGTTGTCTCTATGATGAATATATCCCAGAGATGACAGCGAATTGTAGCCTTTCCGTGTGTATAATTGACCCCCGCTTAACAATTCTGGTAACAATAGGTATAAGAGTAGTTGCTTTTCTGTCTGCTATCCTTAGGGAGAGAAGCGACCTAGCGAAAAAAGTTCCTACGAAATAATAAAATTATCAGCATACCCTCTCTAGTGTTAGTAGGCTTCAAACATATAGCACAACGATGAACAAACCCATCAGTTGGTTTGGTATAGCTTTTTAAAGTCATGATACCACCACACAATCAAATTCGTTCTTTCCGGAGCAACTCTAATCTAGGAAATACTGGAAAACACTAACCTCCTCGAATTGCAACAATAGCCTTGTAAGGTCACGCATTAGAAATGAATCAAGCGCTATACAACATTGAACTGCGTTCGTGAACCTCATTGGATAATTCGACATCGTTCGTGAATCTCATTGGATAATTCGCTGATTGGTAGTTAGTGGTGTCGAAAGTTTAACTTCTCCATTTTTTTGTTCTTGTATTCTTTTGCGCTCCCAATGGGACCTAAAGTCCTCAAGCTTCAATTTTGAAGTTTCATAAGCAACGACGTTTAGGAGTACCTGGGAATACCTGGGAATCGAAACCAGAAAAAGAGCGTGATTGGTGAGTATTCTATCACTAGACTACTGATGCACTCTAATATATCATGCAGTATACAATTCAGAATGTCGTAGCATCTGACGACTGTTTCTTACTATCTTAGTACTCCTCATCAGTGGGTACCCATAAGCCCTCCCCAAAGGTTAGAAGCCAGGCTAGTTTGGTTACGGGGGGGGAAGAGTTTATCGACCTTCCAGCTTTTGGACTGCAATCCATTTACTAACTTCTATCAATTTAGGATACCACACCTCAGACAACCAGTATCATTCCTGAGCGTCTGATTTCTACTTGGCACAGTGGACTCAGCCAATCAACCAATCAATGTGTCTTCTCTCGATGAAAGCAAGAATAAGAGTGGGGATGTCGAATGTACCTCATAATGTAAAAGGCTAGCTGGGAAGGCTGACCAAGTAGCCATAGGAATCCGGAGATATGGCATAGAAGTGTCAAGTATCTGCGAGAGCAGATGGAATAGATTTGGAATGTCAAAATTGTCAACTGAAGATTCAGTAATCTACTTCTAGTTTGGTCACTTAGACGACAACCACGAGCATACTGAGGCAGTTATGTCACCAGTGGCAACCAAAGTCCTAGTGCATTGGTAACCAATTTCATCCTACAGGATCATGACAGCAAGATTCAACTCGAAAGGAGGCAAGGAAGGAAGGAAGGTTACAATTACAATCCATTGCTATGCACAACGCTACAGA